TGACACCCTCAAAAGAAGTAGGCAACTGAAAAAGAGACTTTAAGTAGCTCTGTGGTGAATAAAAGATAGATCAGAAGAGGAGAGGGTTCTCTGAGCAGAAATCAAACCAGTAGGCCAGCAGGAGCAGTTGGGGAAAGGGCTGAGAAAGAGATGAGGTGGCTGATAAAGAAGAGGAACCTTAGCGGAAGAACAGTTGTGGTTAGAGAGGCTTTTGATCAGAATTTTAGGCATAGTGTGTACTATTAACCATTCCCCTCCTTCCCCATACAATCTTTAATTGAGTCCCCAGCTCTCTCTAAAGTGCCAGGGAGCTGGTTTTCCTCCAGAAAGTTATGAGAGGTGGTGCTGAGCTGGGCTCCTACCACCAGGCTGAACATGCAGGGCCCTGTGAGCACGGCCATGTCTTAGGTGAACAAACCCAAAACAATGAACATCCAGCAGGCTCTGATCACCATTTCAGTTCCTCCTTGGGGAAAAAACTGGCAATAATTGTATTCTATAACTCAATAACTAGAGACAGTGTGACTCAGAATGAATTTGTCTCCTATATGGGGTTTTTGTTCAGCAAACCCCGTGCCGCACCTTGTTTTAGAATCCTTACTGTGAAGTCTCAGTCTTTGCTCGGACAGTTGCCCGAAGTGCAGTCTATATATGTGGAGGTCTATATATGACTTTAGCGGGAACGCTATTTGTTTGCTCTTTTCAACATGACCTTTAAGGCTGGCTGGCTGTTGAATGATGATACTTTCCAAGTCTGCCATCTCTTCGTAAGATCAACGACTTCCTATTCTCTTACTCACAGGGGATAGGGAAGACAGGGATGAGGTTTAAACCCCCTATTCTGGTTCAAAGATTTCCTTCCTGCTCCACGTGAGATCTGAAAATAGTTTACTCTGCATTGGCATTGACATTAACAGTGACAAGACTGTCTGTCAACATTCAGAAGCTTCCATCCCTTATAATCTCTTTCAGCAACTGCTTAAAAATGTCAAAATATTTTAACGACAAACAAAGTATACAAGCTATTGATATTTTAACTGTATTGGGAATTCCAGGCCAGGCAGAAGAAGTAGATTGGGGGAGAGTCCAAATGCACTGCTAACCCTGGGTTGGTGAATCCACACGCCCTGCCCCTGTTTTCATCCCTAGCCCTCGACTCTGTTGTCTTATCTGAGATTACCTTCTTTCTCACATCAGACTGTCTGGAGTGCCTATAGCTTAACCTAGTTCCTATCTTCCCTTAAATCTGAAACCAAGTTAAAAGTGATTTCATTCTCTCTGAACTCCTGTAACAGATTATATTTATCTTTTTTATGACATGCATGTATTACCTTACTATTTTATAACTTTTGTAATATTTTAACACTCCCCCTAGACTATCTGTGTTTGCCTTTAAGCACATAGTATATAAACATATGGTCCTAAGTTGGATGAAAACTAATGGGGACATGAGCATGCCTGCAGGCACACACACAAGGACTAGAAGCAACGATACAAAATGGTTTTAAATGTTTTCTCTGGTTTAAAGGCATCCATATGATTTCCATTTTCTTCCTTATACTTACCTCTGATTTTTTAAATGTCCACCATTAAATATATTACTTTTAATGTAAAAATAAAGTAATAAATATATTTGATCAAAAATTCAATATTTGATTGCTTCCTTTGCCAAGGTACTTTGGGCCTCTTTTTTTTCCACAAGATACTGTAAAGTGACATCAATAAAATGCAAGTCACTTACCATCTAGGGTTTTTTGCTGGAAAGAGAAATCATCTTAGTTTTCCTGTTTATATAATAAAAAGAAACTCTGGTAGCATGAATTCAAATGTACTTCAAACTGTTTTTAGTAGAATTGTTTTCAAATGAAATCTAAAACCTAACTCTGATATTTAAGATCATTGACAGCAAGGTGTAAGTTTCCCAGATGGTCTACACTCTTTACAGATTAGTGAGTTCAAACATGTGCTTCCTTGGTTAGGAAATCCCTGAATTACCCTCATGAAAACGTGGGGTTCATCTAGTCTAACATTCTCATTTTACCAAAAAAGAAACTGAGGTAAAGAAAGGTTATAATACCTGTCCAAGTTCACTCTGCTAGTAACTAGAACCTCTATTTTTCTAAGTCTAAGTTTCTGGCTATTATATTATACTGTCCTAATTTTTGCTTGCTATTACTTTAGAACATTATGTTTCTCTAACCTAATTCCTGATTGTGACATGCATCCAGTTTGAAGTCTTGAGTCCCTACCCTCTGTTTATACCCTAGGCTTCGATGTGCGTTGTCCAGCTTTCATTCCATACCTCAGGAAAGATTTCCCTGCCAGAGATCCCTTGTCACCCAATGGCTATTTCTTTACTTCCACAGGGCTCATCCTCAATGCCTGGCCTTATTTGCAACATTGTTCTTCCTTTGACAGACAGTGAAGGTTTGTTTGAACCTGAAGGTACTTATGTATCTTTCTGTCTCTTCCACATTTGGCCTGATTTTGCAATTGAAAGCACTCCAGCTTCCATATGTCAATCTCTAAATTTATCACCCCAAGCCTAAGCAATACATCAAGATTTCCCCCATTCTGTTTGCTCTTCCTTTCTTAACCCATTGGGAAAATCCTTTGAGTAAATTCTCTCTTGATCTTCTAGGAATGGATTGGAGGGATACATCTTTCTCTTTTTCTTTCATGTACACAAGTCCACAAGGTAATGACGTAAGACGACAAGTGACTAAATGCTCACATGAGTAGAGGAGGCAACACCAGCTTTGATGGTTTAGAAAGAAAAGCTCAATGTGGGTGAAATAGACAGAAAAAATGCTTTTGAAGGAGACAGCACACTTTGGTACCATTGAATAGATAATAGGGCAACAATGTGAGCAAAAGAATACTCACAAATACAGGGTAACTGACCTAGACTCAGAAAAAGGTACAATATTTGTATCCCCTGATTCTATTTTTTTGGATCCCTTCATTCCTGCAATTTTTGCACTGGAGTTAAGATGAATTACTTTATAGAATATATTAAGATAACTTTAGTCACAAATCCTTCAAGATTTCTTTCTGGTTTTGATTTAATTGGTATATGGCCACATTTTTCTTTTTATTTGTTAGTCATTTAAGTGAGCTTCAGGTTAAACCATGAAGTAAGCAATAGCTCACTGGCAGAAAAGGTCAGCTAAGCTTTTCTCTACACCTCAAAAAACCTGAAAAATGTCTATAGTGCTATCCTAGCTCTGTGATTGTCCTTTTGTAAGTGTGTGGCAGCTGCCTACAACTTGAAGTTGACCTCAGAAAGTCTGAGCCTCTTCCCTGCCTAACTTTTCTCTCTCTACATTTGTTAGGCCTTTTTAAGTTACAAATATAATAATACCTAACCCAAACTCAATTAAAAGGCATTTATTAACTCACATAATTGAGTAGTCCACAAATAAATAAATCTAGTTTTTATAAGGGCATGTTAAGTTTTATAAAAATAAAATTGGGATCTTTCTCTGTTACTCTACTTTACTTCCTCGGCATTGTCTACATTTCAAGAAACCTCTCCCCTCATGTTTGCAAGAGTCATGTGTCTGGAAACTCATTATGTCACAGAGTAATCTTTCTTGGCCCTAACTGGTATTAATGGGGTCAGATATCCATCTCTAAAATTAGGTAGATAAAATGCACTGAATGGCTTACACTGTTGTGGCAGGTAATTTTGTGTGTCCAGTGAGAAGGTGTTTTTGGATAAGGTTAATATTTAAGTTGGTGAACTTCGAGTAAGCAGATTCTCTTCCATTGGAGGGTGGGCCTTCTCCAATCAGTTGAAGAACCAAATAGAATTAAAGACTGACCTCCCAGGGAAGGAAGGAATCCTCCAGCAGACTGTTTTCAGCCTTTGCCTGCACCGTAGGTCCTCATGTGCACTGTTGGCTCTCCTGAGCCTCCGAGCTGTCCGTCAGCCCACACTGCAGATTTTAGACTTCCCAGTTCCCGTCATCACATAATTCACCATTTTCTATTGTTTGTCTCTCATCTATCTATATCTGTCCTACTGCTTTAGACAGCCCTGACTAATATAACTGCTGACTGGGTTAACCTCTAGCATCAGGGATGAGAGCCAATCCCATCCCAATTTTAGTTGGGAAAATTGGGAATAGTTTTAGGAGTGAGGTAGGGAACCTTGGCTCCTAACAAGACGATAACCACTAAATATCCACAAAAACTTAGAAATTTTCAACAAACTTCTGTTTCCTATGCTTCCTTTTATAATTCATTGCTGAGACCAAGTAACTGGGTTTGAATGTCAGTTTGGCCAGTTAGTAGATATATGACCTTCAGTAATTACTTGATCTTTCTGTTCCTCATTTCTACCTTTGCAGTTACTCACTTAGAAATAATCATAGCTCCTACCTCATAGGGTTGCTGTGATAATTAAAATAAATATATGGAAAATTATTAACAGGACCTGGAACACAGAAAGCATTCATTCTACTGTGTTATTGTTATCACCATCGTCTCCTCTCATCCCCACTTCTTCCCAGTCTCCTGAGTTCCTGCTTCCCCCATACTGCCTGCCCAGGACTCTCAGCTAAACTCTCCTGGCCTCGTTTCTCCAGGTTTCTCTGTCTCCTCTGTTGTGATTCACCCATGCCAATAAGGTTTTCATAGATGTATTCTTTCTATTAATATAATTTACAAAGCTAAAAAGGCAACCTGGAATCACAGATTTTTAGAACTTGTGGAGATAATCTAGTCCAGTAGTTACCAAAGTGAGGCACAGAGGAATCTTTTTTTTAAATCTGCTTTATTTTTTATTTACTTATTTGTTTTTAATTTTTAAATTTATTTAACAGTTCTCTGTTTTTCACTCCCATCCCAGCCCATCCCCCCGTGTTCCCCACCTCCCTCCCATTTCTACCCCCCTTAGTTGTTCTCCATGTGTCCTTTATACTTGTTCCTGTAAATCCCTCCCCTTTTTCCCCTGAAATTCCCTCCCCTCTCCCTTCTGGTCACTGTCCCCCTGTTCTCTATTTCAGTGTCTTTGTTTTTATTTTGCTTGCTTGTTTGTTTCATTGTTTAGCTTCCTGTTAAAGGTGAGATCATATAGTATTTGTCTTTCAACACCTGGTGATATATTGTATCACTTGACAGGCACACAGGAATCGTGATACATGCAGGTCAAGAGAAAATACTTTAAGATTTATATTTTAATTTTTTCACTATAAAATTTATGAAGTGTGTTTATTATTTAATAAATAAAGGCACAATGGTATATATAGTCTGTTCAGAAGGTATCAAGCCATGTAATATGAAAAATAGAGACATTTGTTGAAGATACAAGATACAAGAAACATTGTAATATAAGACAGCGATGCCTCAGTCCCCTTCAAAGTAGGCACCTTGGGATCTCACACAGTTCTCACAATCACCATCAGCTGCCCTTTGTATTTTCCTGAATCTCATCAATGGTCTAAAATCTCTTCCCCTTCAAAGATGATTTTAGTTTGGGGAAAACCTAGAAGTCACACGGCACCAAATCTGGGCTCTAGGGGAGGTGAGTCACCTGGGTGATTTGATGTTTTGCCAAAAAACTCTTCATGAAACATAATGCATGAGTGGGTTCGTTATCCAGATGAAGCTGCCAAACACAAGTTGCCCATAGCTGAAGCCTTCTGATTCATCCAAATACTTTTCATGGAGGAATGTTCAAGCTTAAAGCAAAATTTGATGCAGATTTATTGCTCCACTGGCTCAGTCATTTTTAATGCAATGGCCACCCAGTCTACATGTTCACTAAATGACATCTACCACCCCACTGACTAGTACAGTGAAGTCGTCATTGTTTACACATGCACATTCCAGTCCACTCTCCTTGGCTGCCAAGTTACATTGATGTCATGCAAACTGTTCTTGTTATATTAACAATAGCTGGACTTTTTCTGGACAGACTTTGTATGACTTATAACACATATACATATGCTAGAGGGTAAAGATCAAAGTTTTTTTCACTAATAGGATAATATAATTATTTTTAAAAGTTGAGAGACCAGTGATCTCATCTGCTCCTCCTACTTTGCAGAGGAGGCAAATGATCCAAAAGAAGGAAACAACTTACCTGAGATCTCACCTGGGAGTAGAAGAGTCTGGTTGTCAATGGGAGAGTGTGGGACGACCGGAGCTAAGTTATTTAAACCCACTCGTCTCAGTCTCCTCATCTTTAAAGGAGAAATCATGAGTTCTATCCAATAGAACTGTTGAGCATTCAATTAAAGGAGAACATATTTAAAGAGGCTAGCACAGTGCTTGGCCCAATTTGAGGACTTAATATTCGTTTTTTGTTTTTTTTTCCTTTCATGTCTCAGAGTAGAGGTATTTTTGTTGAGAGATAGTACCTTTCAAAAACTGAAATAAGGAATACTATATTATTTGGTGCTAATAAGGATGTATGTTACTAAGCATATTTTTTTGCAAATCAAAACATTTTCATTTTTATTTTTATTACAGTTATTGGGGTGACATTTGTTAATAAGATTACATAGGTTTCAAGTGTAGATTTCTATGACACATGATCTGTATTTTGCATTGTGTACCCAGCATCCAAAGCATTTTTTAAAGGATACAGACACTAGAATAATAAGAAGAATACTTCAAGTAACACAGTAGACTAGAGAGATCTAGGGGTAAGGGGCTCCTTTGCTACCCTCCCCCAAATCAAATAATATAGGTCAACATCACTCTTGGTACTAAAATTTTCAATATATTGGAGGAGTTTAGGAGCAGTGATCTGTTTGGAAGGGGAGGCTAGAGACTTGTCCTAAAGCTAGTTGTATAGAAAGAACAGTGTTTACTTAATATATATTTATTGGTGGTAGTATTTTTAAGGGCATTGTTCTATTGTCCCATCCCCAATCCAGCCCTCACTGGTCACTGCCACTGGTTGTCATGTATGTCTGTATTCTTAGCCATCAATGTTCCCATTCCTTCTCAAAATCCTACACAAACAATTATGAATCTTCTTCATATTCATATGTGCTCTAAATAGCTACTATATAATGTGAACTGTTCACTTCAACTTAATGTCTTCCCATCACTAAATCAAAACTAATTAGCTTTGTTTTTCAAATTGCTGACACTGGGGGTCTTTGCTATAACAAACCTGTGTGTGATTAGTGATATAATGGCTGGTGCTGAGCTTGGGCAAATATTTATAGAGTAATCATATTGGATAGGGTTGAATAACCTCTTGGATTAAGTGTGAGCTTCTGCCAGGCAGTGCCGCAAAAATGTGCTAATTTAATGGTACAGTCCAATCTTCTGTCTCCTGACATGACCTCTACAGACACTGATACAAATATAATCAGGGATATTAGGGGACAGTATGTTTTCTTTATTGGCACCCTTGACAGTAATATGCCAGAAAAATCCAAATATCACTTTGCAAATATAAATTATGGGGTAGGTAAATGAGACCTTATACAGCGAGATTAAATATATATATATATATATATATTTATATAGCACAGTGATGAGAATAAAGCAGTCAGTAGATAAATACTTGTCATGTTGTTAGCATATTAGATACCAGAGGAACAATTTTACTTTTATTTACTTTCAGGAACAGTAAACAAGTATTAATTAGGCAAGCCCATTTTAGTGTTAATAGAGGATTTCTTCTCTGTCAGACTGTACTGATATTAATCTAGCCTCTCACAGAGACACAGAGAGTAAATCTGAAAACATACAACTAATTCTTAATAGGTAGTCCTTACCTTGTAGTCTGAGAAGAGACCGAGATCTTGGGAAGGCAGAGATGAAGGCAGTAGTTTTTAAAGGTCGTGCAGTGGCCAAATGGACACTAGAATCTCATTTTCCACACGCTGCCCCAGGGCTTTCCTACCTGGGCATATAGTCCTATTATAACAAAATAGTATAATATTGTTACATAAATGACTTTAGGATTTGGATCATTTCCTTACACATATTCCTTACTCATATTGTTATACAGTTTTTAATTTAATAAAGATTATATATTTGATAAGTACAGGTAAAAAGTCCTTGAGCTTTTTATTTGCATTAATTAATTGCAATTGCACCATTTTTAAAATACTGTGGAGCCATTTTTCTTACACACTCCAACCAATTAGCTATATTTAGATGTGAGGAGGAGGCAGAGTAATTCTTAAAGAGTTCTATGTTTCTTACAACTGACTTGACTGACAGGCCTTAAGTGCTATTTCTTCCAAAGCAAATATGACTCATAGCCCTCAGGTAGTGTGTGCACAGGCTAGAAATATTGATCTGTCCACATCCTAGAAATATTAACACACAATAAAAAGAATTTTTAACTTAATTCTGAATAATGCAGTAGCCAAAATATACAAACAGTACACAATCGACCACGGTAATACTTCTGTAATGTTTTATAATGTCAAGTATGTAATTTAAACTCAAGAAACAGAAACTCTCTCTCCAGACTGAACTCACCCCCTTCAGCTTAACTGTGACACTTTCTTAGAACAGTAGTGCCTAAAGAAACTTATTTAAAGATATAAATAAATATGCATTATTTAAGTCATTGGGTATAAGATACCTATCTTGTAAGTAACTCTAATTACCAGCTCAAAATTTCGAAATGAGAGCAACCAGGAGACGGTTTGGTAAAACTTTGCTTTGAAGTTTGCTAATAACAGAGTGAAGTAAGGTCCCGATTACTCCACATCAACACTGACCAGAGAAAAATGGAGGTAGACGCAAGTTACAAAAGGCAGCCTGGGCCCCAGAGGTCCCATTCGATACATGCTCCCCTCCCTGCTGCTTCCTGGACTACTTGAAAATTCCTTTTCCTACCTGCCCCTGGCCAGCCTTCTGCTACTCCTGATTTCTTGTTCCCACTGAAGGCAGAAGAGAATAATCAATCAATACTGCTGTGGGTTACGAAACACTGTTTCCCCACTGCTGGCTCTGGTGGCTCCCCCAACCCCACGGAGTTACCAGCAGCTGGGTTCTGCCTTCCAGTCACAGTTCGGTGACAGGGCTGCAGGACAGACACACTGCTGTCACTATTGTAAGAATAGTATTTTCTTTTTCTTTTTTAGAATAGTATTTTCAATTGAACAAAATAAGCAAACAAGCAAAACGGAAACAGACTCATAGATACAGAGAACATTTGGATGGTTACCAGATGAAAGGGGAGCTGGGGGAATAGATAAACAGGTGAAGGGATTAAGAAGTACAAATTGATAGTTACAGAATAGTCATGGGGATGTAAAGTACAGTACAGGAAATTAAGTCAATAATATTCTAAAAACTATGAATGGTATCGGATGGGTGCAAAATATATCGGAATAAATCACTTAATAAGTTATATAATGCATAATCACTGAGGTATACACCTGAAACTAACATAATATTGTATGTCAATTTTAACTGAAAAAAATTTTAAATGGTTACAAAAATAAAAATAAATAAAACACAAAAAATGTGCCCTAATGTAAACTATCAACTTCAGTTAATAATATGTATCAGTCCATCCATTGTAATAAACTTACCACAACAAGGCAAGATGTTAGTAATAGAGAAATGTGCAAGAAAAGGAAAAGGGGTGTATGAGAACTCTATACATTCTGGTTAATATTTCTGTCAACGTAAAACTGCTCTAAAATTATTAATTAAAAAATGCAATTCAGAAAAAACAGTTAAGCATTTTCCTATCGCTCTGTTTCCATTTAATACATGTATATAATACTTTCCTAGGGCAATGGAGATATGCTTCCACAGGATAACATTATTTGGGGTCCAAATGTCAAAAGGTGAGAGGAAAATGGGCTAGAGGCAGAGAGAGCTGGTGAGCGTAGGAAGAAAAAGACTGATATATCGCCAAGGGACATATTCCATGCCCACTGACTTCTCCCATTTCCCAGGAGTGCCCCTCTGCAAATCATTGCCACCAACTCACCTACTCCTTTCTCAGTAACTCCCTGGAGTCTGCAGCGATGTGCGTGGCTCTTGTCACGTAGATCAGATTACTGCTAGGAAAAATGCCCACCAATCAGTTAAAACTTGCCCATACAGTGCAATCAGCCCAGTCTTCAGGCAGAGGAGTTTAAGCATTCATATTCAAGATGATTTATCTCCAGGTGAAATCAATGTGTTTGCTTTCGTGACACTGTGACGAGTGCAAACAAGTTTCTGCAAGTTCGGGTTCCTTTTTGTTACTACCTGGTCCTTCACCTACTTTGTGCCCCATCCCTGAATGTAGGTTTTTGACACCTACTGAATTTCTGAATACCTCTTTTTGGGTCTCTGCCAGATCTCTCCATAGAGCCAGGGTCTCTGTAGTCACTATAATAACTACCTGCTACAACTCTGCTTCAAGTGACACATGTGATTCACTCTAACCTTGGTTCATATGCGGACTGTTCTTTTCTCTTGGCATCATATACCAATTTTATATTCCCTTTCTAGAGTCACATCCTTCCCTCCCAAGGCAAGATCAATAATCTAGTTACAATCCGATTTTTGAAGCCCTGAGGTGTCTATGGACTCTTGATTCTGAACTTCTTTGATCTGATTCAGCTCCACACCTCAAGTATAACAGATGCCACAGAAGTAATAAAAAAGCATTAATGAAAATAGTCATTTCTATTTGTTGAATACTTACAAATTACCGGACCCAATGTTTTCAAGCATTATTTTTATAGTCACAGCCACCTTTTGATTTTTACAGGGCCGACAGTCTGCTAATACGCATATGGATATAGCCTTCCCAATTTTGAAAATACTGTAACACTTTCTTATAGGTAAATAGCCCCCACCTCAGTCTTCCAAGTGTCCTCACCGGACTCCCCAGCTACCAGGCTTTCTTGCTACTACCTGCCCTCCCTCTCCCCATGATGCAGCAGTTAAGAGGCTAACATCCAACTCAGTGCTCTGGCCAGTGGTGATCGGCTGCAGCCATGCCATTTTTACATTTTAATGTCTCACTACCAGCCCCAGAATATTAGTATTATTCTTCATCTACAGATTAGACCAGTAATGCTTGAGGACATTTACTTGCCCAAAGCCTTATAATTAGTAAATGATAAAGCAGAAACTCAAGCCCATATCTGTCTGTCTTCATAGACCATTCTCTTCCCCTTATCTCAGAGCTCATAGATATACAGAGGTGTTTCCCAAACCTGTCTGATAGTAAGAGTAAGCTTTTGTCAAAATGAGAGATTTGGGGGCCCCCTTTTTTTTGGAGTTTCTAATTCAAATCCGTGTAGTTTCAGGCTAGAATCTGTATTTTCAAGAAGGTGATTCTTACACTTTTGAAATACTGCACTGGGGCATTTCCCCCCAAAATCATTCGGATAAGAATTTACTGCGATAGCTCCACATCTCAAATGAGTAAGTAAACACATTAACACAACCCATGAATCACAGGCAATGTCTAATGGACAGAATGGGACATGTGTTTCAGGTGGTGGGCAACCTGCTCGCTGTCTTTGGTGAGGCAGTACAACTCAAAAGTAGAATCATTCTTTGATATATCTAGAAACATCATTAGAGACAACCAATTTTAGAATGAAGCAAAATTATAGTTTATAAGTAGGTCTACTGAAAAGGACATAGAGTGAGAGCTTTCAAAAAATAATTCCATGAAACCCAGACAGGGGGCACTGAGTTTGCTAAGAAATATGTTAGGGTTCTAAAACCTATCAATTTACTCAAATAGCATTCCAGAATATGCTCTTCAGAACCATAACCTGTGAATAAAGAACTTAAGGAAATTAAAGGTAGCTTGTTGTCTGAGGTGGCCATCGGTGCTTCTTCCCCTGTGCGTTGCCGCCTTTCTGCTGCCGTGGTTTTTCTAGAAATGTGTGACAATATGGTTTGCCACAGAAAGTCTTGTCAATAGCCTCCCTCTCTCAACATTCTCTCTCCATTTCTGCTGTTAGCAAAAGCTGATCATGAAACATAAAAAGGGGTCCAGAAAAAGGCAACTATCACACATTAATTGCATACAGCAGGTTTATGATGCAATTCTCTTTCTCAGGAAAGTGCTTAGAAAGAAGCAGGAAGAAAAAGAGCAAAACAGATGAGCAATTGTCATGAGCCTGGTCTTATAATGGGAATTGATTCATTAAATATTTCTGAGAAGGGCAGAGTCATCTAAGTCAATAGAACGTCCTAGAAGCTCTTCCTCACACGTAAATCATCGATGAGCAAGAGAAACCTGGAGTGGAGCTGAAACGTACTACCACAGGACATGGCCCAAGCTCAGCTGGTTCTCTTCCAAGTGCGAAACCCTGCCAAACACTTAAACACCTGCTTCAGTTATCAGTGCATATATTCCCTTAGACAGCTGAAAAACAAGTCCTCAGATAAACCAATAAGTAAAATCAAGTGCCAAATATGCCCTCAGCAGAAGCTGATAAAATAAAACTTTTAAATAAATTTAACTGAATGCTTCCAAATGGTGCAGCTGACAATGAAAGAATGCACAGTAGTAAAAGCTATAGACAGAAAAACAATATTGAGCAATTTTTCTATAATTCTAAAGAGCCCAATCCATATCTAACCTCACCCTCATCATCTGCAGATAATGTAACTTCCTACATTAGAGTTAAGAAAAAATAAAATAAACCAATAGCAACAACAAAAATAAACAGAATTACATGGTACGAGAGACTTGAAATAAGGAACACTGTCCCCCATTATTTTACTTAAGTGAAGAATGAAGCTTTTCTTCATTTACTTATATTTTTCCCTCCAGTACTTAACACCTGTATGAAAGCCCCTGACTAAAAAGGTAGGCTTAGCTAATGGGGTGTGTCAACACAATTGGAAGCCCATTTCTAAATGAAAATTGCACTTTGCTGTGAGCACAATCCCTTCAGGTTGAAGAGGGCATTTAGAAAGCAGCAGGGGTAGGTAGCTGGTGCTTTCTCTGTAAGAAGGGCCCGTAGGGTTACCACAGCTGGGGGAGAGACAAGCTAACCCAGAGCAATGGGCTAACGTAATAATTCTCACCTAAATTAGTCATATTTCTCCAGGTTACCTTGGTAGATAGAGAGTAAAGGCAGATATAATCCCTCTTCTAATTGTAAACCAGCACTAGCCTAATTATATCTCCATTTACCCCAGATACTCTAAAATCACAGGCTTTCTGTTTGCTAATTCCTCTTATTCATGGTTTTATGACTCCAGAGGAGGCTTTGGGGAGTACGAATTGAAAAACAGTGCAGTGAGTTAGTTCCACATAGATATTAACTATGAAAAAGATGTGGAATGGAGCAGAAAATGGGGTGGGAAGGAAAAAATCCTCATATTTAGTTCAGACTGATCCCAATCAAGGCTAAAGGACAGTGTAAGGCCTTGCCATGTGAGCCTGGGGGAAAAGGTCACAGATGCTAGAGTAAAAAACAGTGCAAACCCATCAAGCCTACGTTCCTTATCTGTGAAACCCAGCCATTGTATGATGAACTCCACTCCCTTTGCCTTAGAATGTGTTTTATCTGTATCCTACTCGATATTTAAGATCCATGTAATTGTGAGTATTTTGTGTCAAATTACTAACATTAGCCCTGGGAGAGACCATGCACCAAACTCATGGGGTGACGCTGAAAATTGCATGTTGTCGGGAGCCACAAGAAGGACAAAGGGTGAAGGTCACAGTGGTAAACAAATTCATTCCTGTCTTTCCAGATAATCCTGTCTCCATTCTCTTTCACCAAATCATCACTCCATGTGATTCGTGTACTTCTAGCCCAGGTTGGGAGTATAATCAGATGGAGAGATCATATAACGGTATGCTCAGAGAGAAGGCTGTGGGTGCCTCTGTGTGTGTCTGTGTGTGTCTCTGTGTGCATGCACACACACGTGTGTATGACAGAGTTACCGAGCTACCTAATTCTTGATTGAAAATGAAC